TAAAATTTTGCCAATTATGTATGACTGAAGAGAGGAAAGGCCATTTATTTTCACTTGTGCTTTTAATGCAATTTTCCTTACCATAAGGGTGTATTGCTTTTACAATTATAAAACAAAGTCAAAGCAAAAAACACATGAAGAAAGTAGACTGCCTCAAATTCAATGATGAGCAAGTTGAGAAACAAATGAATGAACAAACAAATGATATATTTTAAGAATAGCAACAGCAGCAGCAAAATTAGAAATTTAAACAATATGACTAGATATATTTTCTACATTGCTGAATTTATGATTCAAGCTTGGAAGTGCTTCCTTGTAAATGTTTAAAAAATGCTATTTTTTTTTCTTTTCAAAATATTTAGTGTCTACATTTCATCAGTGAACCAAGTAAATCACGGCTTCTTCAAGTGCAAGGATCGAAACCAATTACCATTAGTGACCATCGGGTGCAGCCGATCCTTTCTGTCCTGTTGCCTGAATCTCAATGATCTCCCAAGTGTGCCCATGCAATTTAACAGAAAGATCAATATACCACAGCAGTTAGCAGCAGCTCTCTTGAAGTGCTTCACAAAACATGCTACATTTCTCTACCGAATAAATGTCAAAACATTCCAACAGCTACAATTCTTGGGAGAAATCGTTCCTCTGAAACATTATTGACATACTTTAACCCACATTTCCCGCTGCTCGCAGGCTTCCTACTGGCCAGTCAATTCTGATTTGGCAAGAGCCACATCGACGTGTGTCCCCTGCTGACTTGCTGGGTTGGCATGAAAGATATGAGAATCTGGTAGATAGGTCTTGGGGTTCAAGGGTCAGTGGTCCGACGCTGACCCAAGGTCAAGGTGATGGCAACCTCTCTCCAGGGACTTGGCTTCATCTCTAATATGCCCTTGAAACCGATCAATATCATCACAGAGCTTGCCTTCCTAAGCATAAAAGACCACCAGGTCTAAATGCCTCTAGAGCTTCCTTCCAGCAACCCAAAGCTTAAAAGCCACATAGGAGGGAGGTGGCACTCACTTGATTTCTCACTTAAAGGAGACATTGAACAACAATTGAAATGGTTGTGATTTTTCAAATATATGTAAATATGTGATCCCATATTTTTCACATATTGCATATGCTATATGCATGTTTATGGAGAGAAAAATTTAAGCTTATCTTTATTTCAGTGGGTGACTTTAAGTTAGTTCATATCAGAAGCTTTCACACTGTGAATACATTGGTTCCCAACTGATAATAATGTGCTCTGATATTCTTGAGAATTTCTTACTCTTTTCTGAAAGTATAGCCTGGAATGGACATTTTCCTTGGATATTTGTTTTGTTCTTCTTTGTTTTTTGTTCTTTTTAACAATCCCATCCCCAGCCATCCTTTTAGAGATTATTTTATCTGAAAACATGAAATCTTCCAGAGAACAGTATGAGAAACTATCCAACCTAAGTACAAGCCATTAAAGGCAACCTCAATTTATGTTGTGATTTACAAGAAAATGAAATATCTCTTATGATGGGGTTCTCCTTCATTCCACAGTGTTCAGGACCCAGTAGATGCTGTCACCCAGGTGAACAACTCTGAAGGGATCATTGAAGGTTAGCAGTCATGAAAACAGAATGAGACATGTTATAGAAACTATTATTCTAGCAAAATGGGTTCTCTTAAAATGTAGGCAGGAAAGGGGACATGGTATTGTGGGGTAATAGGAGAAGTTACTGCTTGCAATGTGGGCAACCCATCTCAGAAGGAGTACCAGTCCAAGTCCTGGATGCTGTGCTTCCCAATCAAGCATCTGCTAATAGACTTGGGAAAGCAGCACATAATGGCCCAAGTACTTGGGCTTCTGCCACCTGCAGAAGAGACTCGGATGGAGTTACTGGCTTCTGACTTCTGCCTGACCTTGCCCTGGGTCTTGGGGTCTTTTGGGATGTGAATCAGTAATGGAGATATCCTTGTCTCTCCGTCTCTCTCTGTCACTCTTTCTTTCAAATACAATAAATCTTTTTAAAAATTGTTTCTTAGGCTCATTCTTAGTTAACTAACTTTGATTATAATTTCCAAATGGAGCAGCTTTACTTTTACTAAGTAAGAAAGGTATACAAGCCTCACTGAATTGACTGTGTTGGCATTTGGCTTCTCAGACAGTCCCTCCAGGGTGTTCTACATTTAATACAGATCTAGTCAAGATGATATGGTATAAAAGAAAGAGTCTGTCTCCTCAAACTATTACTGTCACCTTCTTTGAGCTACAAAATTATTCAGTGGAGTAAGTAAATGTGTGTAATATGATTGTTATAACACTCACAAATGGCAAGGGAGATACAGCAACTCTTAGCCTCAATGCTTTTTCAATCATGTCAGTAATGCCAGTCTCTGTGATAGACTTTGCTTTGACTCCACTTAAAACTATGAACTCTTCTAAGCATTGCAGAGCCCCTTAACATTATCCTAAATTAAGAATAGATCTTAAAATATAGTGCCAATATTTTCGTAGTTTTTTCTTATTTTTTTCTTAACACATTGCACAAATGACTTAAGAAAAACATGCATTTAATGAAAAATGGAAAAGTCACATGACATTTTGAATTCAACTTCCTCATAAGGCAGCAACCCAATATCTTAGAAAAAAAAGTCATCCTATCTCTTCAAACACACACACACACACACACACACACAGTAGTGTTCTAATTAACTTTTTACATAAGTATTTCAATTTATGAGAACATATCACTGAAATAATATGCAAGAATTACTGAGAGCCAAATGTCAACAACATGAATTAAGATTAAAAATACAATAAACAACCAGAATAGAATTTACCACACACATATACACGAATTTACAAATATGTTTTCTTGATTAAAATACTGTATCTTAATAACTGGCCAAATATGTAACTATTATAATCTCTTATTGATGGAAAATTTCTTAAAGTAAATGATCTCTAATTGATATAAAACATCAAAAATATCTGTTAGATAAATTGCAGATCTTGTTATATAATCTTCCTATAACATAAAAATATTCATACATATTTTGCATTCCTTATTTTAAGTATTTTGAGAGCAAATTTATTTTCTGTTTCACACTATGCAAAATTTCTAAATTTTGTCATATATGCCATATAACTGCTTACCAACTACCTCTGAAGTCACCTTTGAAAAATTTTAAAAATGTTTTGAATATTGACATGATATATTCTTACATCAGTTAATTTTTGTATCATTTTTGAAACAGGCACTTTTTCATATTCTGTAGTAGGAGACAATTACAGTGTAAGAAAGCAATTCACATTTAGTTTCTAAGTTTGTGGCTTTTGGAATTCAAAGCCCATGTTTTTAAGCAAATATGCTGAATTAATGCTGCCTCACCAAGGGTATCCAAAAGTGTCAGGCTTATGGCCATGGCAAGACAGAGTTCTTATCAGAAGGGATTACAATCTTCTCCATCAAGTTTGGAGATGACGTCAAGCTAAAAGCAACCCCGTGCCCTCCTAATGACATAATGTGTGTCCAGAAATGTTTGCTTTTTTTGGAGGAAGGGGAGGATATTTAGTTTTTACTAACTCAATATAATTAAATAATTACTATAAATCCTACTTCACAAAAAGCACCACAAAAGAGCCAACAAAATCCCACACCTGGAAGACAGAATGTGGGAGATAAAATGTTGCTGGAAGTTGTGCTATAAGAGAAAGACAACATGGATTTGCAGCCCAAGTTCAGGTTTCAGTACCTATTCTACTTTATCAGTTTGGCCTTGGATACAACATCCAACTCACTTGGAATTACTTTTCATCATCTCGGAGATGAGGACAACAATGTCCATCTTCCTCTTGAGCATGAAGTAAAATAATGTGAATTGTTAATGACACCTTTTGTGCAAAATAAATAAAAAATAAGTAGCTCTATCAGAGGATGTATGAATCAGCTTTTCATTGCTATAATAAAATATATGGACTATTCAGCACCAGGATAATTATCAGATGTGATGCAACATGACTTAAAATCCTAAAAGAAAAAAAAAAAAGACAGGTGTGATTCACCAGTAGCCAGAAATCACAGCACTTGTGAGAACACGTAGGTGCAAAAAAAAATAATAATAATAATAACATCTTATAGGAAAAACTGTAATTTGTCTGTATATTCTACATACCCATGTGTCTTGTGGGGCTTTGAAAATTGAAATACATTCCCAAGTTAAGCAATGTCAACATACTAGAAGGTCACCATACTGGGAAGCCACTTGGGTCCCACCCATGCCCAAGTCAGAAGCTGTACTTTCACAGGATTCCCTGATGACTCATGTTTCATTAATGTTTGGGAAGCACAGTTGGATTGTACCTTGTGTGGAACTGAGTTTTATGTTTCTTATTTCCTTGATTAAATGCTGACGTGCATCTAGATAAACTGTCTCCACAAACGTCCTCAAAACACACTGTAGACTTCCGTGATCAAACCGGAAATGGCTTTAAAGAATCAGTTCAGTTTAAATCTTGACTCCACTTGTCTTCTTTTGTTATTCTTACAGAATCCAGATGATCCAGCATTCTTCTCACCAGGTCCAAGAAGAATGTTGCAAGTGGGGTATGGAAAGTCATAAAGAACAGAGACACAAAGCTATAGGTGATCACAATTGTGTTGATATCAGTGCATCTTGTTTTCTACTGCATTATAATTTTCATATATTTCTATTACTTGTCTCATCCTTACACAGGCTTAGGAAATGCTAACAGCAGCATATAGAAATACTTACCTTTAGTCAAAACTGAGATGTAGAGGGAAATCAAAACTATATGTTTCATTTTAAAAAATATTTATCCTGGTACTATTTATTGATTTTTTGTTTATAATATCAAATGCACAGAACTAAATCTAATGATATCATTCTCTGGGGTTATTTATAACCTTGATATGTATGCAAACTGCTGCCCATTAGTGAACTCTGACCTTTGTAATTCTGATAAACAGATTTATAATGCAAACTCTTGCTTTGCTTACCAATTCCTGAAGAACAAATTGAAAAGATGAACAATTAGCTTTTTGTCTCCATATCCTTGTAAGATTTACTTTACTAAATGGAAAGGGAAAAAGAGAGATAATGAAAAAAGAGAAAAAGCTTCGGGCTTCAGTACCTTTAATAGCGATTTTTCCTGCCTTTTGAACAACGATCCACTATTTTTATTCTGTGCTGAGCCTTTTAAGGAATGAACTGGCTTATCTACTTACCAAGTAGCTTCTGTGTCTATCATGATACAGGCCAATGATACCTAATTAGTCTGCAGATCATTTCTGCCTTTGCAGTCTCCTAACCCACCCAACTTAGTGCAAGTTATTCGTATTCTCCCATTTTGAATCTAAATTAACTCATTTAAAAAATAACAAAAAAAAAAAAAGCAATAAAGAACCTTCTGGTATAGTGGCAGTTTATACCAGATGAGAAATTACGGAAGTCCAAGGATTCCTGCTATCCTTTAAGGAAAGAACAGAGCAAGAATATTATTAAGATGAATGCTAATAGGTTCCAAATCTCTTCTGAGAAAGATTTATGTGTAGGAGAACTCTCCAACCTAGGTTACCTTGGACAACCCCAGTTTCCACTTTTGGATATGGAATAATTACTATAGATCCCTTCTCTTGAGTTCTTAAAACCTTTCTGTCTAGAATGTTTAATAACACAGTGACCATACACACAGACACAGTGTGTGACATCATAGGTACAGAAGAGCAGAAACTAGAATTCAAGGACTCACATAGTCCTTGAATATTCTATTATTATTCTCCCAGAACAGTATGAAGATGAAAACTCATCATCGTTTTTAGAACAATGGCCATGTGTAGTACCACATTGCAGCACTGCCTTCAGGAAGACAGCTTTCTCTGTGCACAATACACAGACAAGTGGTGAGTGGCTTATATTGACTCCAGCACAGAAAAGGCCAATCATGAATAATGTCATGTGCTAGTGGCACAAAGCAAGGGCTTGCAGAGAGAAGCAGATGGGGTGGCACAGCTCAGCAGTCAGAAATGCATTGGAGAGTGTGGTTGGAGAGAGGTTGAAACAAGTATAAACATTTATCTCTGCTCATATATTGGCAGTAAGACATTGCAGTGCCAGATTTTTCTTAAGAACTTAAGGATCTTAAATTCAGTAACTCACTGAACAAGTTAGATAATTTTTCAGGTTCAGGAAACTGAAACCCAGCTTAAAGAAAAAAAAAAAATTAGTGCCTATGAAATGTGTTGACTTGAGTAGAAGCACAAGTCATCCACCCATCTGGGGGCCTGTCTGTGTTCTGGCTGTTCTTCTTCCCATCCAGCTCTCTGCTATGGCCTGAGAAGGCAGTAGAAGGTGGCCCAAGTGCTTGAACTCCTGCACTTGCATGGGAGATCTGGAAGAAGCTCCTGGCGCCTAACTCTGGATCTGCCCAGCTCCAGTCATTGCAGCTATTTGAGGAGAGAACCAGTCGATCAAAGACCTCTCTCTGTCTCTCTCTGTCTCTCTCTCTAACTCATCCCTAAATAAATAAATCTTTAAAAAAAAAGTCTTTCAGTGGCCTGATAGACTAGGTGTTTCTTGAGCTTTATCAAAACCAAAATATTGGAAATGACTGGGTTGCAAATTTTGAGTGCTATTTTGAAATTTCATCAGAAATATGTATTATGAAAAAACTATGCATTATTTTAATTATGTATCAAAATAAAATGTGTTTTTTTAAAGATGTCATTTTTTTAATCAAAATTCCATAAAGAGATGGATACGGGGGAGAGAGAGAGAGAAACTTCCATCTGCTGGTTTACTCCTTGGCTGGCCAGCAAGACGAAGGCAGGAGCCAGGAGTTTCAACAAGGTCTCCCATGTGTGTGGCAGAGGCCCAAGTACATGAATTGTCTTCTGCTGCTTTTACCAGGTCCTTAGCAGAGCTGGATCAGTTGGAACAGCCCTTGTCTTAACTTTTCAGGAACTTTTATATATGTGTGTGTGTGTGTGTGTGTGTGTGTGTGAGTGTGTATCCACTATATGTTGAACACTTTACTTAGTTTAGGATTAATCTTCTATGTATAAAGTTAATTGAAAATAAATCACAGTAAAAATCAGAATGGGAATAGGACAGGGAGGAGGAAGGATGAGAATGTGGGTGGGAGGGAGGGTAAGGTGAGAAGGATCACTATGTTCCCAAATTTGTATTTATGAAATACGTGAAGTTTGTATACCTTAAATAAAAGTTTTTTGGGTAAAAAAATGCATCACAATGTGGAATATAGTAGAGTGATAACAGCAGGGAAATAAAAAACAAAAAATCAAGACAATATTAAATGTGTGTTATATTTAAAGTATGGACATATATTTCAAAACTTTTTTTTATTTTTTTTTAACTTTTATTTAATGAATATAAATTTCCAAAGTACAGCTTATGGATTACAATGGCTTCCCCCCCATAGCGTCCCTCCCACTTTAAATAATAAATTTTTTTAGTTGAAAATAAAAGAAATAAAGCAGCCACGACTCAAACCAGTGCCCATGGGGTGGCTTTATCTGCTATGCTGCAACACTGACACAAAAACTTGTGTTCTTAATTGCATTTCTCCACAAACTTTATGAAGTTCTGCCATATTTGTTATCAGACATTGGAGATTTAGTAATACTTGTATGACTGTTTTAAATTTTCCATTTGATATCTCAACATATGTTAGATCAGAGAAAATAAATAATAGGGATATTGAAAGAAGTGGGAATGAAGCTGGGAGCCAGATTGGCACAGGTGCTCAGGCAGACCAGTTCTAGAAAGTACAAACTGTAGCTGAGGAAGGGGCACTAACTCCCAAAATTCTACAGAAAGTCTCAGGGTACTTGAGGGAATGCATTGAGAATCTGCTTTCTCAAATTATTTTGGAAACTCTAGGAAGGAAAAAAGGGAAAAAAAGGAAGAAAAAGCAGGGAGGAACCACAAGGTAAAGTCCACCTCAGGAAATAAAGAAGAAAACGAAGAAACCCTACAGAGAAGACACTTAGAAATAAAACTATGCCAGTGGGGAAAATAAAAGTCTGATAAAAAGAAAATGTAGAAAATGATAAAAATATTTTCTACAGAAGATCTGGGTGCCTCTCATAGTTTGGTTAAATGTGACAGATTCATTAACAACAAAATTTCATTAACAACAATTTTGTTAACAACAAAAATTATACGTCTGTGTCACATCTCCTAGCCCTGAGATGAGCATAGAGGAAACCATGACAAAATGAATGTTTAATGTTATCCGTAGTAGTTTCTCCATACGACAATTTGTGAATCACTTATGCTGCTCTTTCAATTCCCCAGCTTTTCCTAGAGTCTAAACGAACATACCAAGCTGATGCTGTGCTGGAAAAGCAGCTTTAAAACAAATAAACAAAGAAGCAAGCAAAACCTTCCTTGTAGGATGTTCCAATTCCATGTCGAAAGCACTTCCCTCAAAGCTGTGTTCAAGTCGTCAACATGATGTCACTGCTCGAGAGCTGAGTGATCTATATATAATCAGCTCTTACTAGACAGAGCAAGATGAGTACAGTCCACTGCTGGCTGTGATGATTGGCTTCTAGTCAACTAGAACACACACAGACAACACTGGAAAAGTAGATATATACCAAAAAATTGTATGCTTGAAGGAATCACAAACCAATGGAAAAAACATCAAAAATTGTAGAAATGAGAGAAACTCATTTAAGTATGCACAGCATTTTACAAACGCATGCCCTCAAAGTACTTGATACTTCTAAAGTAGTAAAGGGAGAGACTTGAAAAGCCACACAGAAAAAAAAAAAAAAAAAAAACGCAAAGTGACATATCACCTTTCTTGGTCTTTTGGAAATCTGATTGGATTGACTAAGATAGTCATGATATGGGAGGGTGAGCAGATTGAGACATAGGACTTTCTTCCTCCCTCCCTCCTTCCTTCCCTCTCTCTTTTCCTCTCTCTCTCTCTCTCTTTCTCTCTTTTTCTTTCTTCTCTCTTTCTTGTTACATTTTTTATTTATATACAGAGAAAAGATTTCATGAGTTTCATAGACATGATTCTAAAAACACACTGATACTTTCCCCCTCCCTCTCTCCTCTTTCTTCCTTCCTTTCTTTTTCTCTTTTAATTTTTGTGATAACATACTTAATAAAGTTTACTTTAAAATCACATGCTCAATGATCCTCTACAAAGGTTAAAGACAACAATCAATGTAACATGACGTCAGTTTAAGGAGCTATTTCTTAAGGAAAAAATCATGGGAAAATGAACCTGAAAAGCAGGTCTGTTTTATCATTCAAGTTATTATCATGATGGTTCAAGTACTTGGGTCTCTGCCACCCATTTGGAAGACAAGGATGTTCTTGGCTCCTGGCTTCCTCCTAGCATGGCCTGAATTGTGGAAGCATTTGGGGAGTGAACCAGTGAATGGAAGATTCTCTCTCTCTCTGTCTCTCTGTCTCTTTCTGCCTCCTTTTCAGATAAATAAAAGTAAATACATAAACAAAAATTATTTTTCTCATGACCACTAACTATGAGAAACAAAACAAAAACAAACAACAAAAAAGTAGAAGCCAAAAGATGGAGGAGCTAAACACAACAGTGAAGATTTGCAATTAAAATACTGGGAACATGAAGTCTATCAGTCTGAGTATAAAAGGAATTGAGGAGTGCTTGCAAAGATAGCCTGTTCATGAAGAGCTTAGCCTTCATTGGGTTAAAATGGTCACTCCCTTTTCTAGTCCTCTGGGAAAGGATAATGTTTCATCCAGAGTTTTCAATACACAATTTCTTCCATTCATTAAAATGTCAGCAGGCATTCTAAGACATGTGACAAGGAGCTAAACCAAAATGCATTCAAGCTATTAGAATCAACATTCATAGTCTTCTGAATAATTAATCTACATATTCAAGAACATAGTTGACAATGTGAATAAGTTCTCACCAAAGAACTTGCATTTGTATTTTATTGCTGAGTAACAAATTACTCCAAATTTAATGGCTTAAAATAATGAACATTTATTATACAATTTTCATGAATAAGGCAGTTTAGCTGGGTCCTCACTTAAGGTATTACAAA